CCTGCCCCCAGTGCCACCCCCGGCCCCGCCCGAGTGTCCGGTGAGGGGCCCGGCCCGGCCCCCGGCGGCAGCAGGGACCCCCGAGGCGGAGGTGAGAGAGGGGCGCTCAGGGCAGCCCCCTTGCAGGAGCCTGGGAAAGGGGGTGCGGGTGGGTCACCGGGAAGTGTCACCGGGGGTGTCACCGGGGGGTCACCGGGGGTGTCACCGGGGGGTGTCATCGGGGTGTCATCGGGGTGTCACCGGGGGGGCTTTGCTCGAGGGGCTGCGCAGGAACTCTCTGAGGGCGGCGGTCCCCGCAGAGCTCCCGTGGCGTGTCTGCAGGCGGTTCTCTGGGGTGTGTTCTCCGCAATGCCCCGAGCACTGTCCGGGTCCCTGAGGGGGGTGTCCCCACCCGTCCCGCGGCCTCCGGGGGTCCCCGTGGGCGCCTTTGGGAGGGGGCGGGGAGAGTGCCCCGTATCACGTGACACCGGCAAACATGGCGGCGCCCGCGGGGCCGGAAGCGGAAGTGGCTCCGCGGATGCGCCGCGGGGCAGCTGCGGCCGCACCGGGGGTACGGGGGAGCTCTGAGGGACCGGGGTTACCGGAACGGGTGGGGGGCCTTCGAGCGTCTGAGAGGTGTCTTCAGTGGTCCTGTGGGCCGACTCCGGGGCCGGGGGGGGTCTGTGTGGGGTAGAGAGGGAGCTGTGGGAGCGGAGGGGGCGCTGTGTGGAGCTGTAGGGGGTACATCGGGGACTTGAGGAGCATTTGGGGAGAGAGGGTCCTGTGGGGAGGTGTGAGGGTTCTGTAACGGTCTTATGAGGAGTCTGTGGAGATCCTGTGTGGGGCCCGTGGAGGATCTGGATCGTGTGGAGGGGGCCTTTTGAGGGGTATGGGAGTCTGTGGGGAACTCTGGTGGGGGTTTGCGGTCTACGTGGGCTCTGTGGGGGCTGGGTGGGGTATGGGTGGGCTTGGGAGGGGTGGTGTGGCCTGTGGACGATCTGTGGGGGATTGTGTGGTGTATCAGTGATGCTGGGGGTCCCTGTGGGGTGAGGAGGCCCTACAGAACCCAGGGGCTGTCTGGGGGATTTGGGGCACCTGGGTGGTCCCTCTGGACTCTCCCAGTTCCTCCTAGAGCTGATCCCCCTTTTTCCCTTCCCCAGGCCCTCCTGAGCCCCCTCCCCACCATGTTGCTGCTGCCCTTCTCTGCCCTCGCCCTGTTCCTCCTCACCTGCCTGGCTCTGGAGCCGCCCCCGCGGCGCCCCTCGCCCTCCAACCCTGCCTTCCGCGGCTTCCAGCGGCAGTTCCTGCTGGGCTACCTGCCGGCACTGGCTGCGGACTGGCTGCAGGGCCCGCTGCTCTTCCAGCTGCTGCACAGCCGCGGCTTCCTGCGCAGCCAGATCGCCGCCCTCTACTCCTGCGGCTTCGCCTCCAACGTCACCTTCAGCCTCATCTCCGGGTCTTTTGTGGACCGGCTCGGCCGCAAGAAGTCCTGCGTGCTGTCCTCGGGGCTGTGCTCCGTGTCCTGCCTGCTGCAGCTCTCCCAGGATTTCCTGGCACTGGCAGCCGCCCGGCTGCTGGCGGGGCTCGGCACCTCCCTGCTCTTCTCTGCCTTTGAGTCCTGGTACATCCACGAGCACTTGGAGCGCCACGACTTCCCAGCCGAGTGGATTGCTGACACCTTCTCCTGCGTGGCCCTCTGGAACAGCGGGCTGGCCGTGGCAGCGGGCCTGCTAGCTGAGCTGGTGGCCGAGGGGCTGGCGCTGGGCCCTGTGGCCCCATTCCTGGTGGCAGTGCCCTTCCTGGCTCTCTCGGGGATCTTGGCTGGGAAAAACTGGGATGAGAACTACGGGAAGAGCCGGCCCTGTGGGAAGGCCTGCAGGGAAGGCCTTCGAGGCCTCGTATCCGACCCACGGGCCCTGCTCCTGGGGCTGGTGCAGGCTCTCGTGGAAAGCATCCTCCTCATCTTTGCCTTCCTTTGGACACCCGTCCTGGAGCCGCACGGGATCCCGCTGGGAATCGCCTTCTCGGGCTTCACGGCCGCCAGCGCCGCGGGCTCGGCGCTGTTCCGGCGCGGCGTCGCCGGGAGGCTCCGGCTGCAGCCGCTACGGCTCCTGCCCGCCTCCGTGCTGCTCCTGGCGCTGGCCCTCCTGCTCCTGGCACTGCCGCTGCACCCCCCCGGCGGCTTCCTGGCCGTGCTGCTGCTGCAGCTCTCCTGCGGGATGTACTTCCCGGCCATGGCGTTCCTGCGGCGCCGGCTGGAGCGCGGGGGGGACGCGGCGGGAGGGGCGCGGTGGCTGCGGCTGCCCCTGGGGCTGGGGGTGGCGCTGGCGCTGCCGGCCCTGCCCGGGGACCCCGCGGGGACGCGAGGGGTGTTCGGGGCCGCGGCCCTGGCGGCGCTGGCGGCGCTGGGGGCAGCCGGGGGCGTCCTGGGCACCAGCCGCGGGGACGAGGGGCTGAGGGTGGGGGACGAGGGGCTGCTCGAGGGGGACACTGCGGAGTGAGGAGGACACCGCGACAGGGACACTGGGACAGCTCAGCAGCGACACCTGGGTGTGATGGGAACACTGGGACAGTTCGAGGGGGTCACTAAGGTGTGACAGGAACACTGGGATGGGACAGGGACACTGGGACAGCTCGATGGGGA